CTAGCTCTCCGGCTGTGCATGTGGTCTTGGCTGAGACACACCCTGAGCAGGCCTAGGTGCACTGGGAGGTCGGCATGGCCATGCCACCATCCCGACTCTCACTGTGTTCTCCTGTTATATGACTTAATATCCTCTCCACATTACCCTGTTCCTGATCTAGAATATATATTCCTTTACTTTTATTAGGGTAAAAAATACAAAACATACAAATTGACCACATCAAGCATGTTTCAAAATGTATTTATTTATTTGTTCCATGAGCGAGGAAGAGAAAGACAGAGGCAGACACCCCCAATGGGGTCTTTATACCAGGGACTACCCCATCTCAGCTGGCCTGAATCATACCATGGGGGTGTGCCAGGTGTGCCTAGTGAGGTTCTGGGACACAAACCCAGGACCTCACCTATGTGAGTCCTGTTGTATTACTGCTGTGCTGCCTCATGTCCTTCCTTTTAAGCATTTTTAAGTGTACGTTTTGGTGGCGTTAGGGCCCACCTCATCCCTGTGGGGGCCAGAAGGAAAGCCTGTTCCCCCTCATACCAGGTTAGACACTGGTCTTCCACCTTCTCAAGGTGAGGTGGGTCTGGGAAGAGGTGTGGGGGTGGCTTGTTTTCTGCTCCAGCTTCAGTAAAACACCTTTTCTAGATATGCATTCAGGAACATCCCAGTGGGGTCCAGCTTCTCTCGGATGGCACAGAACTTGGGAAAGGCAGGATACATTTTCTCAAAGTCCTTCCGGGTGCAGTTGTGGGCCTGTGAAAGCAACCAGAGCCAGTGTGCCTTGTCCCCTGCTGCTGGCATGTCAGCAGGGCTGCAAACCAGGCATTCTGTTTCCCTGAGCCTGCATGTGTGACGCCCTTCCCTCCAGGCCCACATGTGTACCTGTGCCTGTACATGCATGTGGGTGCACATGTGTACACGTACATGTGCACGCAGACACATACACACACACAGAATGTAGAGACCCAAAGAGAGGACGAGCTTCTCAGAAAGGACAGTGTTACCATGCGGCACTGATCTCCTTCCCATTCCCACCTCGCAGTGTGACAAAGTGAAGGCAGGGACTGTGGCCCCAGTTCCACTGCTACTTAATAAGCCAGGCCTATTACCTGTGAGTCCCTCACTTTCCTAAAAGGTAAATGGGCTCACTGCCAGCTGTCTTATCCTGCTCAGCAGGTTTCTGTGAGAATCAGATAAAGTGAAAGACGAGAAACTTCAGTCCCTGGGAAACTAGATCAGGAATGCAGAAAGAGAAGCTGGGTGCCTGGGAGGGCACGCTCAGGCCCAGTGTTTCCTGACAGGCAATCTTGGGCAGGCAATGGAAAAGGAATGAGGCGCCCCCTGGTGGAGCTCCATCCTGCACGCAGCACCTGTCCCCCCAGTAGCCGATGGGGCTCTGAGCTGTGAGTCCTACCTTGGCCCAGTGCGGCCTGCCCCCCACCTTCTTCATGATGTTCTCGTAGGCCAGCCAGTAGTCCAGCCGCGGTACGTCCTTGCCGTAGGGCCTAGGGGAGGGTGGGCAGAAGGAGGTGAGTCCTATCCTGTGTCATCCCACCTATGGTCACAGGCATGTGACACAGAAAGCGAGACACAGAGATCCAGACATGACTGTCCACAGGACACCAACCACCAGCAACCTGTCTGGCAGGCCTTCTGCTCGTTGCTTCTCCCGGAGGATTTTGGGAAAGCCTGTGTCCCCTCCTGTACCTTTCTAATGATTCGTAAGCAATGTCAGAGAATTATATATCCATGCACATATATGCTAATTTTGGCATCTTTTTAAACAATGCCTTGAAATCCTCAGAATTATTTCATAGGAAACATGGCCTGTGACCTAACTAGCAACCCCAGCCAGTCCTCACCGCACAACCACACAGTCAAGTCGAACAGTTGACAGGAAAAAGCCTGACTGTTTTAAAAAGTTCAACAAACATGCTACAGTGCATCCGCACAACATTCTATTTCTGAATATGAATTCACAAATGGAGGAGACAGATGCATGAGGTCTAAGCCTTGCCTCAAGCTTGTCCTTCTGTGAAATAAGCTGCCATCTTTCAGAAAGCTGCAAGTCTTCGAGAAACTTGCTTTGTTGGCTTTTTGGGACTCCTTTCAGTAACAGAGGATTCTTTGTCTCTTGGGTCTCTTGAATTTGGGACTTTAATATGCTGCAGAAATACTTCGTATTAGGGTCCAGCAGCTGGTGTAATGGCTATGTCGCTGGACTCCCATGTAGTTGACTGCGGTTTGAGTCCTGGACCCGGTGGCTTAAACTCATGCCGGGCGTGTGTGCGTGTGTGCCCAAATCCCGAGAGGAGAATGGAGGAGAAGGGATTGTGGTATGGCTATCCCCCCGGAGGGTGATTTCTTGCTTTTTCTCTCACTGTCTGTCTCTGTCTTTCTGGCGAGCGTACAGAGCGGGCACTGTTCCTATAAGGAAAAACCCACCAAAAAAAAAAAAAAAAAAAAAAAGGGAAGAAGAAGAAGGAGGAGGAGGAGAAGAAGAAGAAGAAATACTTCGCATTAAGATTCAGGATGGGAGCTGGCAGGTGGCGTGGTGGCTAAGGTGCTGAACTCCCACACAGATGACCATGATTTGTGTCCTGGACCTGGCAGCTTGCTTTCTTACTTTCCCTTTCTCTCTCTCTACTCAAATTAAAATAGTAATAATATTAATAATAAATAAAATAAATAATAAAAAGATTCCGGATGGGTGAGAGGAATATACTTTCTCTCTCTCTCTTTTTTTAAACCTTCACTCATTCCCCTCTCAGGATTTTGGAGATGCACCCCCACATACCCAGTGTGTTTCTCAAACTGCCAGGTCCAGGACTTGACTGTGCAGTCAGCCATGTGGGATCCAGCCACCTTAACCACTGGCTGGCCCCAAGAATGTTTGTCTTATACAAAGCCAGAAAAGGGCCATTATGATCGAGAGGTGGGAAAGAAAAGGCAGATGGAAAACAAGGCTTAGGCACGAAATCTTAGAAAAGATGTACTTCTTAAACTCCTCAGGTGCACCCATTAGCTTCCTGCTGGAGGCCACCCCTAAGTGACTAGGAAAAAGGCAACGTGGTCCTGGGTGTGAGGTTCCTGGTAGAGCCACCCAAGACAGGGAGACCTTGGCAGGCACCTGCCATCAAGTGTGATCCTGCGTCCTG